CATGAAACTCATTGTGAGGCTAAGCGTGTGTTGGTTGAGCGGGCGGCTGTCCCACTGTCCGCGTCGGTTTGTGTGGGTCGTTGTGAGAGGCTTTGTACGACTCCCAAAGCTTATCGATAGTCTCGCTACTTGCAAGAGCGCACAACGGAGCTCCTTCCTTCCAGCCTTCATGGCAGAGGTGGGCGTTCAGCTTGGGCACAAGCAAATCTTCCCCCGCGTGTACTTCCAGCCATTCGAGGAAGTACGCTGAGAGCAGACGATGTCGAGCAGGTCAGCTGCAAACAAAGCATTCATGATCGCCTAGCATCAGCTTGCGCCGGAACATCCACTCGCCTGTCTTTTCGTAGCCTGCGTCCCAGCTGCAAAGGAATGTGATGAGGAGAAATGTTAACAATCGAGTCTTGTCTAATCGTAATTTTTAGCGCGAGGTACGGATGGATGAAGTTCGACGCTGCTCACCGGTCGCCTGGCGTCCTTCTCCAATGTGGCGGTGCAAGGCCAGCCTTGAGGCGTACCCAGTCCGCAACGCCTTCCACTGCTCCTCCTGGAAAGGTGCCCTTGCCATTGAACTTTGGGAAGGGAAAGGAAGAGCAGCGAAGCCTTTCAGCACCTCGACAGCCATTTGAGCTTGCGCAAGTCATTGGTCTGAGCTGCACATGCCCACGCTCTCACCTGCCACACGTGCACCATCTCGTGGCACAGGACACCTCGCAGTTCGTCTGCTCGCCGGTCTTCGGATGTGTTCGCGATGTGATTCGCAGAGATGTGGATCTGCGCGGTATGCATTGAGGCGGGTTGGCTTATCGGCGTATCACGAAACGGCTCAAATTACGGCATGTGCGCTTTCAAGAAGTGTTGATCTCAAGCTCACCTCTTTGTGCTCATCGTCCCAACGGTCTCCAGTGGTGTAAGCCACACCATCCATCTCCCTAACATGCAACGTGATACTTCGCACACTTTGCGCAACCTTCTTTGCGCTCGTGCATCTCCCCTCATCACCACCGTCTCGCTCCTCATCAAGCACCGGCAAGCACAAGCATGTCCACACTTTGCGCACTGCTAGCGCCAACTCCTCCTCTAGCTGAACGCACCTCAGCGTCTTCTTCACCGCCTCCGATTGTACGTCTTCGATGATCAAGCGTAATTTGGTTTGGGCAATCCTCTTGTCCATCCGATCCTCATCTCGAGGATTTTCCTTTGAGCTGCCGCTCATCGTTGTCATGAGAGATCAAGGCGTAATACAAACACTTGCGCACCTTGCACGGCCCTCGACGACTCGAAGACGGATGG